CCGGCCGGAGCGCCACCGTCGCCGGCGCGCCCGCCACCCGCCGCCGACGCTGGGCCGGCGATAACTTGCCGACCGCTCGCCCGCCCTCCCGACAGTCGCACCGACGACATCACGGCCGTAGTTTGCCGGCCGGCCGCCAGAGGATCGCAAAGGACTCGACTGGCGCCTATCGCCGCCGCCGACGCGACGCCCGAAAACCGCACCGACTGCACGGTCTCGCATCCTCCCTCGCGTGCGCTTCGCCCGTCCATTTCGCATCAGCCAGCTTTCGTTACGCGTTTTCTCTTCTTTTTCATTTCACCACCACCCCTATACTCACCCCCTCCCCGACCGATACCAGCGGTAAAAATGAGTTATTTTTTTTTTCATTTTTCCTTTTTGCTCTAACCATGTACGACATCCTCCTGTAATATGGTACTACAACTACCCTTGTACGTATTGTATAGCTCTCGGCCGCAGTCTCATTACCGCCGCGTGACTCGCCGCCACAGCCGAACGCATTATATAGGTATATATATATAGGTGTGTATATCTAGGAATATCATTTTACGAGGGTGTTTTTAAAGATTAATTATCATCGCACAGGTTGGAGGGATCCACACTGGGTCGGGCGCTACCCACCCACGACCCACCCATCATCCATCCACTCACTCGCCGCCGCTCCACTACCAAACACAGAAACACCTCAGAACTTTCATATTTTAATACAGATTTATCCTTTGCAAACTTTTTTTTTTTTCAATATTCGTTTTTTTTTCTAAATAATTATCGTCACAATATTATAACATGAACTACAAAGTACGTTTCGACCGCATGACATTTGTCTCCCAATAACAAACGTACAACATATAGGAAATTCAGGTTCTGCAGCCTATTTCGTGTTGTGAGCTATGCAATAACTATTTAAGTGAATTTACATACCAAACTTAAAGGCAAGATTGTAAGAAACTAAGAAATCATAATATCTGTGTTTTTACTTTATACACTTATTGGTTTTTACGATTTAGGTTAGTTATGAGTACCCATATGTTACACACAGGGAACTAGTATTACAAATCAAAAATGAACATATAATTCGTTTAAAAATTAAATTACCCACTGTAAAAAGTAAATTCATTAGACACGAGTTAGGTTTTCGACGAACATTTGGTGCAGAACAATATTGTAAGTTTGTAAGATGGAGATAATAATACACGTGTGGGTGTAATAGCCCCGCCATAGGCCCGACAACTATGTTATCTGAGCATTAGCATTAGCATTAGCATTAGCATTAGCTGGGCAGTTGATTGTTTCCTTAACAGTTACCCACCGATAAGTTCCTATGAATGTTTATCAAATCGACTTAATATAATATTATGTTCAACCTATTTTTGCCAATTTTTAAGTAGGTCTCTCGAGTCACCGTAGTGTGAAAAATGAACGCTAGCTTGTCGCCGCTGTGACCGGTAATGCGGATTTAGTAGGTATGACTAATACCTACAATTACTGTAAACGGTTGTTTTTGCCATCATAAAGTGAGAAAATATTATTTTTTCGGAACCCGTCGTAAAGACACTTGAGCGAATAAGACAAAGCGACGAATATGCCTGTGTATTTATTAGGACCTTCGATAACCGCGGTATACGGCGGAAGATTTGAAATTTGCATTATGCTTATTGTTTTTGCACGGCAAACATAATAATGAGTACCTACTATACAAGTGACATTCGAAATCAAAAAGCAGTATACTGCGCCAAAACAGTATTTAGCTGATAGAATTGTGGACTTCTATGCAATAATAATGATAATAATAATAATAATTTACTGGAGCAGCTGCCGTGATGTATAGGCTGTTGTTCGGAGGCAAACAATTATTTTACAGGACGTCTTCAACACGGTGACACGTTGATATCGCGCATTTTCAAGTGTATTTCGCAAGACGTTGAAAATTAATAGGACACCGCAACACAGCGTATTGTCTTTGTCATACTGCACCGCGGGCGTACATATAGGTACATAACACATCATCACAATTGGTTTCCTTACATTTCGGTTGATTATAATATTATTATTATTATTATTATTGTACAATAATGCCAGTTCTAAGGGGCGAGTTTTATTTGCATATTCATAATATACACCTATAATACATTTTTGGTTTTTAACCGAAATGATTCGCATGACACCAAAAGTTAATTGAATTGCCCAAACCGATACGGCCAATATTAAAATATGCAAAATATAATAATTTAGGTGATACCTATGAAACAATATATAATTATATGTCGATGTCGTATAATAATCACAAGCATTACTTCCAACGATGAGCTGTGCAGAAAACATGAAATTTACTGACGGAGACACTGCACCAGTATTATAATAGGTAAGTAGGTATATTAGTATAATATTAAATTGCACCGCAAACGATCAGCGATACAACTGTAACGAATGAAAGTACAAGTAGAGTTCAACTGAAGGGTCGCGAAAAACCTATTATTACTATCAATCGGAAAAAATTTATTTTAAAAATATAATGATACTACGAAAATCTTGAGAAATAAATGAAAATTATCGAATGCACAGATATTTTAAAATAAAATCGAAATATTATTCAATAATTTGTACTTTTAAAATATGATACCTAAAATGCCATTTCTATTTATTTAATTGTTTTCTCATATACTTACCTAGCACACTAAACACGTATAATAAAAAATAAAAAACAGTTGGGAGAAAGGAAGAGCATATTCGATAATCATACAATCAAAATGTATTTTGTAAAAATATGTTAATAACCGTCTATTGTAGTCATGTTTACAAATAAAGCGTTGCATTATATAAATAACTGTTAAACCAATAAAGTATCAAACATTTTGTTCGATTAATAATCTTTGTTTTTGTTATTTTGATGATGAATTGTGTGTTCGACAATATTCATATTTAGTCCATTGACGTCATTAATAATTTGTTAATTATTTTATGTTAAATTGTTGATTTTGCTATAAATTAATGTTATTTCAGTTTACACAATATTGTACGATTGTAGTTTGCTTTGAGCTGCAATACGAAATTAAAAATAATAATTAGTTTTATTAAATACAGTGTCAACTCGATAAACATATAATTGCTGAAGACAACCACTCTGACTTACTTTTCGCACATTCGTCTACCGTTAAACCAATATAAATGTTGTTTCAATTGCAATTTTTTTGTTCATCAATAAACCGACATAGGTCTCAAAAAAAGTATTATTACCAAAATGGGCCACGAGTCAAGAAAGTTAAAGATCACTGCAGTAAAATATATTATAAAAACTAGTCTATAGCAAAAGAAAAAAAATAAACCGACTTTTTTTCAAGATTTTAATCATCAACTTTTTTACATGGTTGCCAAGACTGGTCCGTCTTCAACTGCACACAAACTGCAGTTATTGTGAAATAGTGGACCTGCTGTGTATTAAGCTAACGACCAATAACCATATTATAATATTATAATTTATATTATACCATTTCAGATTGATTGACCGTATTAATGGTATATAGTATTGTGGTGGTGAGCATATCGCAACATTGCGACAAACTGCTCAGACCGCAGTTCATATTCTCTGCAGCACAGACTAAGTACCTGTTCGTTATACAACTGGGGTAATTAATTAATTTAAATATACGCCAAATTTATAAGTCAAATTTTATGTTTTTGAAAATAAAACGTGTTTTTATGTAGGTCATATGAATCAATTTATATATTTTTGCAAAAATATCATTTTTGTTTCAATTTTTATCACAGTGTTTTTTTAGGTTATTTTTTATGAAAACTCGTATAATAGTTCTTATTTCACCGTCAGAATACTTTTATAAAAATTCAAAGTTTACTTTACACATCTATGGATGACGGAGTTGCGTAGTGGACAACTGCGCAATGTTTGTACGGTTTCCTCTTGCCTTTTATTCCGATCATCTGTAATAATGTATAATAATAATACTATATAATATATTACATTATAATTTATAGTGTTTACCTACTTATTTAAAAAATTGTTTTATACTTTCTGTACAATAATACAAATTATTATTATTATTATTATTACAACAATACCGTCCATCCGACCAAACGTGTCCTTGCAATATTATTATTATTGTTATTATTATATGATAATCTTGGACGTTTCATCCGGTTTTCGTCTCTGCTGTTCTACATCCTACGTATCGTATTTCTCATTCACGGGCTCCGCAAAGTTCTATAATATTATATATTATTTTCACGTATTTTTTTTCTAGTGTTCACCCCTTTTGGAGCGGTTTTTGCAAAAATATCCCCTCTCCCGCGAGAATTTTATTTCTTCCGATTTATATATTATATTATTATATATTATTATGGAATAGTATCATCGTTATCGCATCTGCAGCTGCTCCACGCCGTTTCGGAATTCTCATAACATTCCGCAAAACAACTTAGACGGCATCGGAAAACGCTTAAACCGAATTTGTTTCGACTTCTCGTCATCGTTCTTATAATAATAATAATATTATTATTATTAAGTTTTTTTTTTCGTTCTATTCCAACGCCTGTACGTATAGATAGATGATGGTGTTTGCAAACTACTCGAGCAAAGTTTCTTTGATGTGAATATTATTAAATTATCCTCTTTTGATATTATAGTTTTTCATTAAATATATTAATGTACAATATACAAAATACAACGGCCATAATACCTATGTGCATGTACCTATACAGGTAATA